CCCCCCCCCGGCTCCCCAACAAAATTAATATATAATTGACGCGACATGTTCAGTGAATTCAACCGGCTGTTAAGTTTTTCGGTTGTTTTGTGAAAACAACAATCAATAAAACAAATAGCCTTAACAGCCGGCCAGTTTAGTTTCATAGTATTCTAGCTATTCCAAAAATATTTCTGCATAATACCCTAAAACCTACACTGGTTCTTGCATGAGGCACTCCGCCGTTCGCAGCCCTGATACAAGGCCCCTAAATGCTAAATCCATCATCGTTCTCGGGATGTTCGGTCTGAGGGTGGTTTGAGGCCGTTTAAAACCGGTAAGGTGCTAAGCATTCTTGGGGCGGTTGCTATGCTTCAGCTATGACAGCAAGTCTCCGAAGCTGCCTTCTTAAGGATTCAGGTCTTGAGGTGCGAGTTTTGAGGGTTGGAGGGGCAGAGGCGTTTCTAGTTTCGATTTTACGGAGCTCTTGTCTTTCGTTTTTTTTCTGTTGTTGATGAAGGGCTGTTTGTGGAATTGGGATTGTCTTGTGTGGCTGGTGGCTGCAGTCGCAGTTGATATTGGGAGCTGCTGGGATGCGCTAGCAGCCTCCACATGCTGAGAACCAGAACTCTATTGTGTGTAGTACGTAGGAGCCCAATAGGTAAACTTTAAAACTTTTTTGGTATATTAGACCCCTACTAAAAGTAGAGTTTAAAACTTTTTTGATCCAGGGTACTGGGCTTAAAGGAATACGGGCCTTCGTATGCCCTTCAACTACTGTTGAGTTCCAGCTGCAGCTCTGCTAGAACTCCAAGTCCAAGTACTTCCACAGCCCAATGTTGCTCCTATACCTTGGAACCAGCAGCACCCTAAACCCTAATCCCCAAAATCTTATCACATATATATATATATATATATATTCTAATTATATATATATATATAGCTATCGATGTGTCTATATATATATATATATGGTACACCCCCCCTCAGAAGACCTAGGTTTCTATATAACATATGCAGTGGCCGGCACGGGTGCGTCAAAGGCGGACAGAAACGCCGGGCCGCCGCGAGCACGGGCTTTCCAGGAGATCCCGGAGAAGGCTGTTAGGGCTTAGCGTTTAGGGTTTAGGGTTTAGCGTTTGGGGTTAGGGTTTAGCGGGGTTTAGGGTTTAGCGTTTAGGGTTTGGGGTTTAGGGTTTAGGGTTTAGCGTTTGGGGTTCGGGTTTAGCGGGGCTTAGCGTTAGGGTTTAGGGTTTAGCGTTTGGGGTTAGGGTTTAGCAGGGTTTAGCGTTTAGGGTTTGGGGTTTGGGGTTTGGGGTTTAGGGTTTAGGGTTTGGGGTTTGGGGTTTAGGGTTTGTTTAGGGATTAGGGTTTGTGTTATGGTCTTGAGGATTTAGGGGTTTTGGCCATAGGCGCCTAAATAATCAATCACCAATACCATGGTGGAACTCCTTATTACTATAACCAGACGAAAGAATTAGACCAACAATGGTGTTGCGGTGTTTTTCGTATAGTTGCATATAGAAGTGTTCCCCAAAGCCTCATTTTGAAGAAAAACACCCTGCGTTGTTTTTTGACCCTAGCTGTAGACTAGTCTATCGAAGAAGGGTATTCCCATTCCGGGACCAGATAGCATTGTGGTGCGAATGTGGATCAGTGGCAACGGCAGTATTGCTTCGATATACTTCTTGACATTCTTTCAGCTGGATGCATGCTATAGGAGCCTCGTTTTTGGACAGTACTCCCCCACCTGCAGCCCCGAAGTAATTATGCAACTGCCCCTTCTAAACCCTAAACCCTAAACCCTAAATAGTTATGCAACTGCATTAAACGCGATTCCAGTGTTTCAGACATCTAGAGTATCTTCCGTAGCTGACAAAGACTGCAGCTCAGGGCTCTTGGCCTTGTTAAGGGCTCATCCCTTTTGTGGGAGCTTCTTTTAAGCAAGGTCCATCATCTAGGGTCTATTTTGGGGGTCCTCCGGCTTCTGAAGCTTCCACGTGCAGATGGTATGCTCGGAAGGTTTTCTCACTGATGGCCAGCCTTCGAGTTTCCAGCAAAAAGTGAACGCAAGCCTCAGCACATTTCCGGCTAAGGGTGAACATGCCTGTACATGTATGTGTCCGGACCAATTCTTATGCTTTGGGCTACGGGGTTTCGCCATGACAATGCCAACGATGTTGATGGTGCTTGTGCAGATGAAATGATAACAGGAGAAAAGCCACGATTATGATGATGACGACGACACCGCAAAAGCTCAGAGGGCTAGAGAATCCAGTGGGATCCCTTTCATGATTATTCTGTGTTCGCCACTGATGGGGACATCTGACATGCATGTGCTATGTTGGTAGGCAGAGAGACAGATGGGCGAGCTTCTGGACGGAGGTGTGGGAGAGGGAGGGAGAGAGAGAACGGGAGGG